TATCAATAAATTTAAATACACATTTCTAATGTATAAATATATATAAATACATTTAATATGATATAAATATATATATAAATACATTTTATATGATATATATATATATATATATATATATATATACTAAATACAAATAAATACATTTTAAAAACATAATAATAATAATAATAATAATAACAATAATAATAATAATAATATGTGTGTGTATTTAGAAATATATGTATAACATATTTTTATACATTTTAAAACATAATAATAATAATAATAATAATAATAATAATAATAATAATGTATGCCCTAGTTCTTGATTTAAAAACTTTGGTGAGATATGATACAACCATACAGGCGGTGGTCAAATTAGGAGGTGGAGGAGAAGATAGATGGTTTGGTCCTATTAGTTTTTGGTGAATCGGAGTCCTCACTATGGCAGCGGGTGGTGGCGGCGTGCAATTGTAGTTCCACTGCCTTGCTCATTTGTTTTTATGCCACGTGAACTCAAAGGGAGTGGCGGTGAACGGTGACAGGTGGGCGGAGGAGCTGGTCAGATGGAGCCACACAGCGCAACAGCAGCACACGGTGTTTTGGCTAGCTCCGATCAACAGCAAATAGTGAGAAACACGATGATGGTGGCTGGTAATATAAGAAAGAGAAGGAAGAGAGGGGTTAGAGAGAGAGAGAGAGGGTGGGACCCCCCTTTGCATCTTATTTCATTTTTTCATTTATTTTTAAATAGTGAAACAACATAAATGGTCCATGTGATCGTGAAAAAGACGAAATGCTCTTTAGTTAACGGACAAACTTAACCGGAGTTAGCAAAAAGATCAATCGTCAAAATTTTGAAGCACAGGGACCATCTATGACGTTTTTAAACCACGGGGACTAAACTTCAGATTTTGGGAAACCACAGGGACCATTTATGATGTTTTTTCTAATAATAATAATAATAATAATAATAATAATAATAATAATAATAATAATAAGAGTACTAATAATAATAATAATAATAAATAAGTGTAATAATATAATAATAATAATAATAATAATAGATAATAAGAGTAATATAGATAATATAATAATGAAAATAATAATGAAAATGATAATAATAATAATAATAATAATAATAATAATAATAATAATAATAATGAAAATGAAAATAATAATAATAATAATATAGAAAATGAAAATAATAATAATAATAATAATAATAATATAATAATAATAATAATAATGAAAATGGAAAATATAATAAGAATAATATAGAAATGAAAAATAATAATAAATAACATAATAGAATAATAATAATAATAATAATAATAATAATAATAAAATAATAAAAATAATAGTAATATTAATAATGATAATAATAATAATAATAATAATAATAATAATCATCATCATAATCATAATCATAATCATAATCATAATCATAATAACAGCAACAACAACAGCAACAACAACATCATCATCATCAACAACAACAACAACAATAATAATAAGACAAAATTGCAAAAATGGTGCATGTGGTATGCATTTTTTCCGAGATTTAGTCCAAACCTCGACTTTTTTGGCTTCATGGTCCTTTTGAGCTAGTTTCGTTGCGGATTTGGTCCCTCGGTAAACTTAAATGATTATAATACCCTTGCGGTATTTATTTTTTATTTTTCTTTTCATTTTTTAAAAATATAATACACATTTATTTATTTAAATATTTAAAAGATAAGAGGGGCCTCTCTCTCTCTCTCCACCGTAAAATCCCTTTCTTCTTCTTTCATTCCTTCACAATGGATCTTTAATGGCTTCTTCGCTAAAAATTATGTCAACAAACACATTTAAAAACAACAAAAACTGAATGAACCCATACAAATCTTCAATGAAATCAAAAACCGTAATATCGATTGTTCCTCCTGAAAACTCTTTGACCCAAGCAAGAATCACAGATGAAATTACAGATAAACCATAGTTATTCCACATGTGTGTGGTCTGTGAAGATTCTCAAAACTCCACATCCAAATTGAAGATGAAGAAGGAACTACACGATTACATCTGATTTCTGAGGTCTACAAATGTTTGCTTCTAATTTCTTCCATCTCGATCTAAACTAGATGTTCATATGCCGGAAAAAATCTTAATGGGTTGAGTTGTTTTCCTTCCATGCCAAGAGATCCAAAGCTCAGATCTGATTCTTCCCAAGGTCTTGATGGATAAAGCTTCCAACTTTATCCATTAAGACATCCCAATAAGACAATATCTCTAAACATAAGTCCTTAATGGCAACTTAAGGCATGAACTCAACCATTAAGCACTCAATCACCAAAGTCACATGTCCAAAACTTCCAGAAGGGTTTCCTACTCCTAAACCATCATAAAAATCAGTGCTTTATGGACATGCATGTCCAATGCATGTCTCTTCCAAACTAGGTCAAGATTATGGGAGAAATGAACTCAAACTTGTGCATGAGACCAAAAACACCGAGGAACTCTAGATTTGGAACATATAACACTAAAAGGAGCTCAAGGATCCATAAAGTTGCCAACTTTATGGAATCCATTCTTCCAAACTTTCACAACATGAAGAAGTAGGGACAATGAACCAAGATCTAGAAGCATGCAACCTAAAGTTTGGATCTTGAACACTTACAATGGTCCAGAGATGTGCTATAAGATGATAACGAGGCTTGCAAGATGAATTAATGCACCGAGAGACCTCCCTTCTCCTTCAAGATACCAAAAACACCACAAGATCTTTAAAAACTCAACAATGGAGGCTGGATCTTATTAGAGTTAGAAAGGAAGGTGTTGTAGGCTAAGGGTGAGCAAATCCTAGCTCAAACTTTCCTTATATAGGGCCTAAAGCCCGAAAATCTAGGGTTTTGCCCTCAGATGGTCGCCACGTCGTGGTCTAATACTTGCCACATCGTGGGGCACAAAAGTGCTCTGTGATCACTCTGACCATACCAAGTAGTGGGGACACCATTCCCACGTCGTGGCCAATAAAACTCAAAAATAATTATAAATTAATTATACCTGGAATTTCAGATGTTACAGTTTCTTGAGAAGTGGAGGGGGATAATTAAGAAAGGGTTGTTAAGATTGTACCTTATGCTTTGAAAAACGGTTGTTAAGATTTTACGGGGTATCACCGCAACATAACAAAATTTTCCGGAAAAATTTATACTACTGATTTTTTTTTAGGGGCATCCCAGGCTAACTCGGACTCCAATGTGGATTCGCACCTGTTCCGTGAGGTAGATTTGTTTACTTAATATATCTTAGGATAAATAAATAATAAACCATATAAAATAGACCAAAATAATCATACATTTCGTTTCATATTATCTTCAAACAATATAAACAAAATCCAAAATGTAAAGTTTAAAAAATAAAAAAATAATAGAATTGTGGATCTATAAAATTATTGATCATATTATGTGTCCCACACTCCTACTACGTGATAGACGATAATTAGGACATTTGCTATAGAAGAATTTCTTTAATCAACAATATATTTTTGGACATAGCTTCATTATCAACAATTTTTCAAATAAGTGTGTTTAGCCTAGGGTGAGCAAAACTGAACCTGGAAACCGAAAACCCGACAAAAAAGCGATGAAACCGAAACCAAAACCGTTGGTTTTGGGTTTATATTTCAAATACGAAAAATAGGTCTCAGTTTAGGGTTCAACTTTAGGTTCAGAAACCGATCCAGTAAAAACGAACCGACTTCAACTCATGAACCGACCTATAATATATGTTTTTGATTATTTAATATTTATATATACTTTAAAAATTAAATATTAAAGTATGGAACCGTACGAATTACAGATTAGTGTTTTGATGATATTAATGTTTTGGTTGTTGTGGGTTGTTTCTCTTTTATTTTATTTTGATGGTTTTTCATAATTTAGTTGTAGACTTTTAAACATGACTGTTTTAATATATTTTTTGAACTATTTAGTTGATTTTAGAGTTTTTGATCGGTTTTAAAAGGTTGGAATAGTGGAAAAGAATCTGGTTTACTTTGTTTACATGTGCTGGAAAATGGGTTAAACCTAAAACCCATGAACCTATATGTTGAACCCGAGAAACCAATCAAGAAACTGAAAACCAAAATCCATTTAGAAACCGAACCCAATAGGTTCTGAAAACCGAAAATCAAAATTAGTGGGTTGAGTTTTGTTTTACTCTAAAACCGACCAATACTCACCCCTAGTTTAACCAATTTTTTTATTATGACATGCGTCTTACACGTGTATAAATTTCGATATTGATAGCTTAACACTTAACTTTTACAACTATTTACGAGTGACACTTCACATATCTTGTATTCCACTTTTACGGATATTATACCCAATGTTGCCGAAAACGGTCTAACTTGCAAATTAATCCCCACCTAGACGCAAGACGGACTCTACTCGATGAAGTTTAGTACTACCCGGTCAAGGTTGGTCGATATCTTTCAAATTTGGAGCTAGGCAATCCTAGGTTGCCTAACTGTTCAAAGACGGTCAACGAATTGAAAAGCATTTAACGAGGAAAATTGTCAAAATGATCTTGAAATTGTCAAGGTTGAAGCTAGGGTTCCCATTCATTCCATCGTTCCCAATCCCACTCTGTACTATCTAGCATGATGCAAAAACAGAAAAAAGAAAAATGTAGCACATCGCCTTCTGCTCCTCTGGTCATCGTCTAGCGTCGTTTCTCCTCCGATATGCCGGACATCTGGTCATTCTCCAACGACTTTTGCTCCGGAAATCCTCCGACGTCGTTGCTTCTCCGGTCATTGTTTTCTTCCTATTTCTCCAGACAGCAACCATCGTCTCTGTGAAGCCATCATCTGATTTGAGTGATTTATAAGCATCTTGTGCAGCATGTTTAAAAGACTCTCAGCTCTATTACATATTAACGTCGTCCACTCATCACTTTAAGATACCATTCCAATATCACATCATAAGCATTAGACCCTTACAATTAAATCATTCTTTTAAATTATACCTACCTGTCCAGCTATAACAAAAAATAACATAAATAGCAATAAAATCACCATGATTTCAAAAATAAATTCCAAAAAAGCGAGCCAATCTTAGGTTTCCTTGCTTCACAAAAAAGGTGAAAATTTCAACAATTTCCAGTAATTGGACTATGACACCATGATATTTTAAAATAATAGATTTAACTTTAAGCTTTTGTGACAGGGTATTCAAAGACTACATCTTTCCCAGAAAGCTTCCTGTATACTCCAGCAAACGTCTCCAATTTGTATTCAGTGTCATTGCGAGCCTTTGGGTCCAAATAAATCTAAACAATACAAAAAAGATTTAATTCACTTTCAAATACTGGAACAAAGAGGGCATTCAGCACAGACAAGAGATCAAGAGCATTTCCATCATATTGACATCAGTCCCAATCTCAATCCAATGAACACTAAATATAATTACAACATGTTCTATTATTATATATGAAGGGTAAAAAAGAGAAGATTATGATTTATGAAAGAGTTAACCTTGATGATTTTAGATCCATCAAGCCTGTATCTGATGCGTTTCCCTACAATTTCAGCAGGATGGACAATATCTTCAAGCATGGCTTCATGTACAGTAGTAAGAGTGCGGGAACGAGGTCTCTGAGCTGCAGAACCTTTCTTTGGTGGCCTCACAATCCTTCTTGTAGCAATGAAAACCACATCCTACCACCATTAAGTCGCCACATACAATTTTAGTCAACAATAATAGCTTACAATGTTTTTTTTTTTAGTTCATATATACCTTTCCACTGAACTTCTTCTCAAGTTCCCTCACAAGTTTAGGGTGGATCTTGCGGAATTGTTTTGTCAATCTATATGGCACATGGATCACAACTGCCTTTTTGTTGTTGGCAACATCAATTTGGCTGCAAGCAGATAACAAAGAGCATATTAGATCTCAATGATACAACAAGAAAGTCCACACTAACTTCTAAATAATATAAGATTACCTTGCTGAGTTGATGTACAGATCCTTCAAGTCACTTTTGAGCTCTTGGTGTGTATTCTCCAAGTCAAACAACGCCTGCATTGACATGTTAACAGATCATACGTATCAAAATTATAACAGTCAACAACAATTAAGCAATGATCTTTGATATTCAGAAGATCACCTGGGCAACACTCTGCTCAAATTCAGTAGGTTCAACATCCTTATCCTTAGAGATCTTCTTCATTGAGGTATACATCTTCAAATATCTGTTTGTCAATAACAAGAGTTCAGAGAAAACAGTCATTAATAAGAAAACAAATTACCAGAGAAGGGAAGTTCATAAATTGTGAGACAACACAGTTAACCGAACACAAAATATTAATCGAAAAAAAAAAAAAAAAAAAAAAACGAGCTCCTTCATAGATTACATATCCCTGGTTCTTCCAGATATTTCGAATTTACGCTTAATTCACACTAGTTGTATCCAAAAAATGATAAAGAAACTAGCTAAACTACGTATAGCACACTCAGGATAAAACAATAGTTTAGAGTGTTAACTGCATTATTCACGCAGGGACAAAGTTTGCGATTTGAGTGATTCTTACTGGTAATAAACATACAAAAAACGCAATTAAAAACCACACGTTGAATCAAGTATGAATTCCACCAGAGATTACCTTAACAAGCTCTTCGCTGATGCTCAGCAGGATGCCGCTGCTGTTATCGTGTGGAACAAATGTAGGTTCAAAGGGTTTTTTGATTCGAAATTCGATATGTTTTCTAATTTTAGGGTTAAAAGTATGGGCTCGAGTTAGAGATAGATTGATTATGTGGGCCAGTTTTGAGCCCAATTTGAATAAAAAGAACAAAGACTATAACTCTAAATAGACACAAATTAATTTAAACTATTCCGTTAAGGAAATGGCCCAGCGGTATCAGGTGGTGCCCTCGCTCTTTGAGGTTGAGGGTTCAAGTCCCATCATGGATATAGGTGGAATTAGGTATTAGTTTAGGAGGAATAGATTATATATTTGTATTTACCGATTCAAAAAAAATTCCTTTAAGGATTAAAGTCAATACGAATAATAAAATATCTCATGTTCATCTTCATCATATGTTATTAAACATATTTTTGTATATTAATCTTTTTAAATTTTAAATTCATTCTATTTGTTTAAAATTTAATATTTTGATCGGTATTTATCTGAGGATTTTTTTTATTTACTTTTCAACTTTATTTACTAATATATACTTTAATTTATTATAAATCTTTATTTCATTTATCCGGTCATCACCATCTCAATTCTCATAGCATCATTTTCTATAATTCCCAAACAACAGACACATAAATCATTTTTGTTTATAACTAGATATTTAGATTTAGACTCGTTGGGTTGGAAAAAGAGGCTAGTTAGATGATGGGTAGTTTTTCATTATAATTTCAAAACTTATGAGGTGGTCAAGTCATGGAATGGATAACCTAAATATTAACAGACTCCAAGGAAGTCGACTCGTGTTTGATTTCCACCGATTTGGCTTGGGCTTTAGCCCAAGGTCAACCAATTAACAGACTCCACGAAATATGTGTGTGTGTGTGTGTTATTCAAGGGTAGCAATCTCGTAGGTAAAATGGTCGTGAAAGTTGGCTCTTCTTGTTAAGTGTTAGGTCCCGTTTGATAGTTTCTGTCTGGGAAAGTGTTGTCTGGTAAAGTGCTGTCTGGGAAAGTTTTCTGACTGGGAAAGAAACCATGCTGTTTGATTGTACATCTGATTGATTGTGCTGAATGATGAAAAAAACGTAATAATTCAATAAAAAATAAATTTAAAAAAAGTTATTTAAAAAAAATTAATAATCCAAGAAAGAAAGGAAAAGGCCGGGTTTGCTGCATAATTGTCTTTTCAGCCAATTCAGCCAGAAAGATATGATTTTGGAGCTTTCTGGAAAAGACATATCTTACCGGGAAAGACCTTTTTTTGTGCAAATCAAACAGTCTTTCCGGTCCATTCAGCCAGAAAGATTTGTTTGGACCTGGAAAGATGTGTATCAAACGGGGCCTTAGTATTTGGTTTCGTGTGGATACAAACATGTTTGGTTATATCATTGTCCCTGTTCGTTTTCGCTTAATTTGGTGACACCAAAGAACTGTGGTGCTGGCGTTCTTTGTTGGGTATTCTCCACAATCATCCGACATGATTTGCTGCTGATCGAATGCTTTAAATTACATGATTTCCAAATTTACCTTTTTTGGTGTGTTGTTTCGATTTTGCTCTGTTTTTTTTTTCACCTTTTATCTACATGTATCTAGTGTAAACTTTTACTCATTGTACTCCTTCGCCAGTTACTACTAGCTGGTGTAATTTTATTTTAATCTTCGTTGTTCTATAAAAAATGAAAATGAATGTTTCATTTCTATTGAGGTCTATGCATCTTATTACGCTTCCACTAATTATCTCTTACATCCTACTTACTTGTAGATTGGTCAAATTATCTTACATCTTAAAATCTTTTGTTAATAAATCAGCAAAAGATAATAAAATAATAAACGATACATATTCACTTAAATAGACTTATTACAATGACAAAAACATAGTCAACAATACTTAATATGGAAACCAGATATTGTCATCCATAATAACTACATCCCTTCCATTACAACATTATACTTTCAAACTTTTTTTTTTCTTAGTAATGTATTGTATTGTGAAAAATCTACCCTATTATAGGCTATAGCATTGTTTTTTTTTTTTTTTTAGGAAAATGTACTTTGGAAAATCTTCCTAATTATGGCAGCGGAAGTTGCTTTGTATTTGGATAACATCGCCATAACTAGGTAGATTTTTTCAACATATAATCCTACAACATGAAGAATGAAAGTAGGATGCCATAATAAACAAAATAGATCAAAGTACATTGTTATTTCCTGCATTTAACCCGTTTTTGTATGTAAATTCATCCTTATGTTTGCATTGTAATAGCATACATATTATACCAGACAAACAACTTACAGAACAAGCCTATAAAACTGACATCTTTGTGGTGGGTGAAGAAGACAAAATAAGCACAAACCTCACTTCATAGCAAAATAGCCTGCAGGGTGTAGAGGGCCAATATCAGTAACTTTTTATAGCTTTAAAACATACAATTTAGACACAAAATTATGTAACTACTTTTCAACTTATAGAGCCCAACATTATTTGTAGTAATCATATTTTCTTAGGTATTGTTTCAACTTAATAGGGACAAGACTTAATCCAGTAAAGCTATTTATGGGTGTTTCTTTTTGGCTCAATACAGAAAGAAGAAATTAATAGAGAAAGTCAGGGAAATTATGCTTTTCATTAAGCCCTAAATTTTCATAAATTGGCCTTCGTATATTTTTTACTTTAATTTCTCCAAGTGTTCTGTCATTTTTTTAACGTTATTTATCCAAAAAATTCTTTACAACACTTAATAGAGAAAAGGGGCCAAAATCTTCTATCTACCAAGTGTACCTAAACTCCTAAAGTACTATACCCTCGATCTCAAGGACAGCCAAACTAGTTTAGCTTTTTCATGAAACTTTTTAGGTCAGGAAACTACTTATTTTCCATTTATCTACATAATCAAGCTTCAATTACTTTTAGTAAACATCAATGTACTTGCACCATTTTATCAATTTAGCCACTAAACTATGATTGTTACAAAAATAACAGAATACATCGATAAAAATAAAAAATAAAAAAACAGTTCAGAGGCTAAACTGTAGCTTTCCTTGATATCAAAACCGGGTAACAGAAAAAAAAAATGGTTCTTTTGAAAGATCAAAAAAAGTATTAACTCTTTAATCACTAGAGAAAATAGTTAAGTGACTAAATCGATAAAAACATAGAATGGTGAAACTAACAAATGCTTTTCTCTGTTTCACCCTAAATCAAACTGAAATATGAAATGTCTGAAATGTAAGAGCATAGAGTGTAGTTTAAATTTTTACCTCTTGGGTGTAATTTGGATGCATAAAAACAAGAAATGCAGATTCAGACCAGATCATCAGATCCAATTTTGTTCGAATTTTGGTTGGTTCCTTTTCCACCAAATTTCGCTCTCCACATATCTTTTCTTTTTAGTCAGAATCGCCATCTTCCCTGATCTTTACACACTCTGTACTGTGCTTTCAGTCATTTCCTGTAAGTGGCTCCATGAAAAATCAACTACAAATTCCTTCCACTATGTTGGACACCTCCATTATGCAAGAAGCGGAGAAGCAGATGGAGAGGTGAGAGATGTTTACTTGTGGCAATCTAGGGGTAAAAGGGTATTTGAGTAGTTTTAAGAGGGAGTAAAACCATGCAAGTTGAATTCCATGGGCTTTAGGATGGAATGTCAGAAGACATCAATGAAAGAAGTTTGTTTGTGAAATCTAACAGAATTCAATTCCTTACTCATTCGCAACAAAAGGCAGATCAGAATGGATTTGAATTTCAAATCTGGCCAAAACTTATAACCTTTTCATTTGCTTAGCTGAAAGACTTCTTAATTACTTGTTTTGATGCCTTATCCAACTCTTCTGTGTGCAATAACTTCACCAGGTCATTTAATGTGCCTGAATTTGCAGAGAAACCAGCATCAAGCATGCTTTCAAGACATAAAAGTGCCCTTTTTGTCTCGCGATATCGAAGAAATCCCTGAATAACTAAATTATAAGTAACACCATCCATCATGCAACCTTCAACCTCCATTTTTTTAAGCAGATCATTCACGCCCTTAAGATAACCAGTCTTAAAAAATCCACCCATCAAGACATTATAAGTATGACAATTAGGGTGCAAACCACTTGCAGCAAGTCTAAGAAAAACCTGATAGCCACCATCGACTTTCCCAGCCCTACACATACCATCAATGAGGCTAGTGCAAACAACAATGTCAGGTTTAATGCCAATACATTCCATAGTTTTAAATAACTTAAGGGCCTCATCCATTTTCTCATTTTTTAAATAAGAATCTATCAAAGTAGAGTAAGTAAATATATTTGGATAAATACCCCGATTCGGAATATCTTTAAGAAGCTGAAATGCCTCTTTGAGTCTTCCCACATGACATAAACCATTTATAAGAGAGGTACAGGTGACTACATTAGGAACAACTCCATTTCCATACATTTCACTAAAGAGATCCCAAGCTTTTTCTATCTTTTCTTTCTTTTTGCTCTTGCAGTATCCTTCAATCAAGATACTATAGCTATATACACATGGCGCATACCCTTCTCCAATCATAAACTCAAAGATCTTTCTAGCAACATCCACTTTGCCAAGCAAACAATATCCATGAATTAGTGTAGTGAAGGTGAAAGCACTAGGCACACACCCTTGTGCAATCATAATCTTGAATATCATTCTAACATCATTTCTTTTACCAGGCAAACAGTAGCCATGCATTAGTGAAGTGTATGTATAAGTATCAGGCTTCATTCCTCTTTCCAACATGGATTTAATCATTTTATGTGCTCCTTCAATCTCACCTTTTTTACATAGATAATCAACTATAATGCTACATGTGACTACATCGTATGAAATGCCTTGAGTTTCCATTTCAATCAATAATCCATCCACATCTTCCCATTGACCTGAATTACGAACACCTTGAATCAAAGTATTGAATGTTACAGCATCTGGCAAAATACCTTTGTTGATCATTTCTATATAAATCTCACAAGCTTGAGTAACATGGCCATCTTTGCAAAGACCATTGATGAGTATATTATACTCAGTTGTGCTTGGTTGACAGCCCATAGTTTTCTCTGCATCTCGGAAAAAAAGAAGAGCAACTTGTGAGTCACCTCTTTTGCAAAACCCATTTACTATGGTACCAATGGTTACAACAGTTGGTTGTAATCCATTATTCATAATGCCATGAGCAAGCTTTTCTGCCTCACAAATGTTACCATAATCACAAAGCCCCCTTACTAGAGTATTAATTATAGCACAATCGGGCTTATAACCAAGCTTAAACATTTTTCCATACACTGAGAAACCGAAATCAACCCTATCCATATGGCAAAAACAGTTTATGGCAATGCTAAACGTATATAAATTAGGTTTAACAAAAGCGTTGGAGCCTAATAAGTCATGGTCCAGAATGAGAGAGATGGCAGTAGGGTATTGCTTCATTTTAGCAATTTTAATCAGGATATGATTGAATTGACGAACAGGAGGTACAGGTATGGTCTCAATCATTCGATTAAAAGAAAGCACCGAACCTGTTAGCTCATAGTTCATTTGTGGGGAAGAAAAACGAATTTGAGAATGATAAGTAGCAGTAATCGTATTATAAGAAAGAATGTTGGAACGCACCATAGCATTTTGAGGAAGAAGAAACGCAGGCTTCCACATGATTAACTAAAACCCTAAGTTCCATTAACATCCTTAAACCTCAATTCTATAAAACTAGAAGAGTCGAAAGCATAAAATCAAAAGGGATGATTGTTGACTTCCAAAGTTCAATTTAATCAAGTCTTGATGTGATGATTTGAAGATTAGCAATGAGAAACCCTGCTCAACCATCATCCCCTGCAGCATTTCAATGGCTGCGCCTACGCCTAATAAAATGGTCGCAAATGTGTATTTATATCTTTTGAAAATAATGCGACTAATTTGGGCAAGTCCAAAAGGCCGCCCTCTCTAATTTAAAACCAGGATCCGTGTTTTTGCCTTTTTGGATTGGCTTCACCAAAAACCCAAATTCACCATAAGTTCATAACATTAGGTTAATACGTGTGTTACCTTAACTTTACCTAAATCGATCGTGTTTTTAATTTTAGGGTTTTTTGTTGGTATATGTGAATTTACACAATGCATTATTAGTTTTAATGCTATGAGAGTTTAGTGGTTGAGGAGTGAAATATCTCATACGTTCACAACTCAATAAAAAATATTTATGACACACCCAAAATATGGTTATTGTTCCGCGATTCTCACATGGGCTTTGGGATAGGCTAACATGAGCGACTTAGATAGTGCGGTTTACTATTTTTTATATAAAATATACTTCATGTTAAAAAGATTTTATATTATCAAATTAGTTATGACAATGACATGCAAAATTGAAAAAGAAAATAATGTCATCTGGACACTTAATTGAGTTTCTATACAGTTCACAATTTACATTGCTTAATTATATTTATCTTTTATAAATTTCTTTGTTACCTTATTAGTTTTGTATGAACAAGTAATTTATGTCCATTTATGATGATATTGTATTTTTTTATAGTATTATGTTACGTCTGTTTCCAATCACAATCAAAATTTGGTTCTAAATTCGTCTATTGTCATTGATCATTCATAATGAATACAAAAGACCGAATTATATTTATTTCGGTATCAAAATATGAATCAATGTAATGTTTTGATAATATAAATACAAAACACCACATTTGAAAGGGAAAAAAAAGTTGCTTATGAATTGCTAAAATGCAACAACTTTAGTCCACATGATTTATTTGTTTCATATTTTGTGATTTTATCCATATTTGAAATCGTTGTTACACATTTCATCATTTGCTCAAATGATCGTTATCCAATCCTCCCCCCACGCACCCTCTCACATGAGGTATTTTGCTATTTTCCACTTCTCCATTACTTATATATCCTCTTACCGCCATTTAGACTAACACCCAAAACAAAAAGGGTTTCAAATTTCATCCTAGAGGTTTATAAATAAGCCATTAATGAGATCCCGTGCAAAGTCCACCGTAATTTGTGATCATATGCTTCAGTTCAATAGTTGGTCAATTAAATTGCACCATCAAGGATGCTTCTCCAAATCCACAGAAGAAGGTATAGATTTGGAACCATTGACTTTTTTTTATTTGGTTAATATTTTTTAGTTCTTGATGAATGATTTGGATATCATTGTGGAAAAGTTAGGTGAAAATGATAGTGTACCTCATCCTTTTCATATATTAAAACTAGAAAAAAAAAATAAAAAAAAAAAATAAAAGTGGACTTTGGCCTAATGGCATTAGATAGTAGGGTCATATTGTCGATATGTCAAAGTACATTGTTGACAACAAACTCATATCTAACCTAATAAATGAAAATCATTTTTGCTAAATGTGATTTTCTTATTGAATCTGGTACATGTCATTTTCTTGTATTTTTTGAATTATTTTTTTCAACTTTTCATTTTTTTTGTATTTTTCATTTGACAAAACTGCAAAAATGATCCCTATGACATTTTTTTTTTCTGAGGTTTAGTTCAAACATCGACTTTTTTTAGTTTCATAGTCCTTTTGAGGTAGTTTGGTTGTGGAATTAGTCTCTCTTAAACTCGAAAAGACTAATCTACCCTTTTAATTTGTTTTTCTATTTTCTTAAACATTTTCCCCTTTTATTTAAAATTTTAAAAATAAAAACAAATAAAGAAAGGGCCCATACCACATGGACCATTTTTGTAGTTTTGTCTTTTTCATTTTCTTAAATTTAAAATCCACATTTTAGTGATGGTTTATCTATGTAAGTTAGATCATTCTTTCCTAATGTTTTCAAATCTCCTAGAATATATTAAATTACTTACTCTATTCATTATATTCTTTGTATTTATGGAAAACTATTACTTTAAAAATACATAATGCTTACAACTTTATATTAAAATTTTTATTTTTAATAAACTCGTGTAGTACACGGTTCTCACACCTAGTAACTATATAAGTGTATATTAAACATGGAACTATTAGTTTACAAACTTATTTTTCGACACCAGTCAAGTCAAATAGCATTGAAATAGTAGAAGGTGAGTGACAATTTTGTAGCAGGCAATTGACAGATAAAAAGGTCCAGTGGTTTGTATTCAGTGGCTAATGTGATTGCAGCTAGTGTTTCCATTATCATGTTCACCCATAAAACCTGAACAGCAATTAGCGGTGCACTTCTTGTAAAAGATGATTAATCAAGAAATGAAGGAATGGAAATAATTGGAAATTATAGCATCTAACTTTCATTTCTAATTTTATTTTAATTTTTTCTTTCTTTTCTTGTTTAAGCATTGTACTTTGAAAGTATGATGTTGTATTAGACAAACAAATGGACGTACTTAGCTATATCTTGCATTCAGCCCTTGATTGTGATAAATGAATGTACTTTCTTTTATTTGTCTAATTATGGCATCTAACTTTCACTTTTAAATATTAGCTTTTTTTATTTAATTGTTGTACTTTGAAAGTACAATGGTTTAATAAGAAAAAACATTAAGATAAAATTTTAAAAAATTAAGAATTAGAAATGAAAGTAATCAAAGCATGATGTTGTTTTCTTTGCTTTGTAAACTTATAGATTTCTCTGTATGCCATTTTATGTTGTTAGAATTTCTGATTGAGTTGACATTTCACTACATTGAAATACCCGACCAAAATGGCATTTCCCTAAAAATAGATCATCTTTAAATTTCTATATGTATTTAAATACTTTTTGTTTCTTGTAAACACACACACACACACATATGTGTATATATATATATATATATATATATATATATATATATATATATATATATATATATAGAGAGAGAGAGAGAGAGAAAAGGTTCAAAAGAGAACCTTAAAATAATAAGAACCCTAAGAACCATTAAATTTATGATTTGATTTTTTTTAAATGTTGATAAATAGCTAAAAATCTAATAACATTTCAAACACTTTCCAAACTTTTTTTGCAAGAAAATTTTCTCAAACTCTCCCAAGAAGATAAACCCTAACACTAATTTAGTTACCTGTCGCCGCCACCACCTTCAGCCTACAGCCGCCGTCACCTACCACCTTTACTCGTAGAAATGTCAAGTCGTCAATGTATTTCACTTCAAATACTCCGTTAACCCCTACCGATATCAGATCTGGAGTAAAAACTCCATTGTCGAACATCAACACCGACAACCATCGCCGCTACCTCTTTGCTCCGGTGATACGCTATGAGTTGTTCTCCATCTCTTTCTTCATGATATTCGGCCACAAACGACTAGATTTGCCCCAGATGTGACATATTTGAGATCTAAAACCATCAAACACCACCATCGCCGTCAACGGTCACCATAGTTGCTTCCTTTTCGCTTCAGGGAAACACGCTGAGCTTGACTACATCTCTTTCTACGTGATCTCTGGTGAAAAAAAGTAGACTACAACAGATTTGACGTATCTGAGAAGCTCTAACACTGATGACGTTAATCGTCGCCGCTTCTGTCGCCCGTCGCTCCGATAAAACCCCGTCAGGTAGCCTTCGTCTCTTATATTTGATATTTGGTGATACACCACCAGATCTACATCAGATCTGATGTGTTTGATATATTTCAGTTGTAGATCTGGTGGTTATTGTGCACTTCAAGTTGGCCAACAGCGATACCGCCACTATCTTTGTGTATTTTTTTCTTTGGTTGGATCTCATATGATAATGTTAAGATAGAAATATTATTAAATCAGATGTACAAAATGTGTTTGATGAAATGCCTCAATGAAAAGAAGGTATTAAGAGTGAGCAAAAACCGAACAGCAAACCGAAAAAACCGCATAAACCGAAACCGAAAAACCGAAACCAAAATGAAAACTGACGATGCGGTTTTTAGTTTTGCAAAAACCGAAAATGTTTGGTGCGGTGCGGTTTCTAGTCTTGCAAAAACCGCAAAAAACCAAACCGCACAGAATATATATATATATATATATATATATATATATATATATATATATATATATATATATATATATATATATATATATATATATGTGTGTGTGTGTGTGTGTGTGTGTGTGTGTCAAGTGTTGATATTTGTAAGAACAAAGAAATCATGACAATTAAAATTTTTATAAATATAAATATTTATCTTATCAGATGATGATTGTATATTTTTAAGCATACATATAGTGATATTTACATTAACAAATGATGTTTATTATATTTTTTAACATTTTAATTTTAAGAGTACTAGTGATGATAGTATCATTTTTATGAATATATTAATTGATATTATCATATGTAACTGTGAACCAAATATTATATTTAATTCGTATTATATTCAAACATTTGAAGCATGTTGGATGAGTGGTTATGTCATTTGCTTTCAAACCAAGAGGTGGTGGTATCAGTTCATCTCCAAGATATCATTTGTGTTTCAATTTTTTCAGTCTTATAAGAGTATCTCCCGTCGCATTTGAGATAAAACTTTCACCATTCTCACATTTCATATAAGATAGTCAAGTCTATGGCTTTTAACCCACATCTTTGAGGAGTCGCACATTGCTGGGGATGAAAATTTTAGCTCTCCTCATCTCTACATAAAGTTTCTCAAAAAGCGATTAACACTTCTCATCCGAGTCAAAGTAGCTCGTTGAGTTACCCGAGTTTTAGTAAAAAGGCAAAACAAAAAACCAAATAAAAAAACTGACAAAAAACCGCAAAGAAAAAACCGAACCGCAACAAACCGAAAAAAAACCGCAAAAACCGAACCACATAAAAACCGAACGGTGTAGTTTCTAAACTTTAAAAAACCGAAGTTGCGGTTTTCGGTTCGGTTTTGGCCATAAACCGCACTGAACCGCACCATGTTCACCCCTATCTCTTAAGTTGTGAATATGTATTTAAACTAATATATTAAGCATATTAAGATGTGAATAGATTTATAACTAATCTTTTATGTCTTTTTAAGTTGTGAATGAGTATCTAAAACAGTATTTTAAACTGTAAATTATAAACGAATTAGTATATTAAACTGTGAATAGATTTATAAACCAGTATTTTACACTATGAATTATAAACGAAATAGTATATTAAGTTGTGAATTCAGATTTTCTTTATCCATATATGATTTTTAGAGCTTGCAAAAATGTAAGTGGTCTACATTTGATGGTTTTCAATCTTGAGCTATCTTCTCTTGACTATTTTTTTCTTTCAAAAGCTTAGTGCTCACTCTATATCTATCTCCTTGCCCTCTACTTTCTTATTCAACCGCTTAATTGTATTTAAGATATTATTAAATTATGAATTTTGATTTTTTATCCGGATATTATTTTTGGAGTTTGCCAAAGTGTAAGAGATCGAGATTTGATGGTGTTAGAAGGAAGCAAAACTATAAATAATATGTATTAAGTTGTGAATATAATGTTAATTAGTTGTGAATGTAATATATTAAGTATTGAATTTTTTGAATTAAACTATGAATTTACTGTTTTAAATTGTGAATTTTATATAAATTTTTATGTTAAATTGTGAACGAGTGAATTAATTGTTAAAATAATATTCTAAATTCTTATTTCTATTTTCTAACATGTTTTTTGTTGTAAAAAAGGTTAATTTTAATAGTAAACAAGAGTTTTAAGTATCAAGTTAGTAAAACCATGAATTGCGAATTGTTCTACATTTGCTTTTAAGAAATAAACATATGCAACCTTTTTTTTTCCTTGCGTAAAGGGAAATTACAAAATAAAAAGCAAAAAGAATTTTGTTTGAAAACTGATTCATTGATTACATCTTTTAAAATAAAGTTGTAAGATAAAGCTGTAAGAAAAAGCTCATGCAATAAAGTAATGATAAAAATAATTAAAAATTTATGATGTGATATGTCTATTGATATGAGATTTCAAAAAAGCTACATGTACAGAATGCTACAACTATTTTCTTTTTTTAGAATTTTTAAAAGCTACTTAATTCAAGCTTTTAACCGGCAGTAAAGATGTTACCTGATGATTTTAAACTATAAATATTTTCTTTTTATATTTTTTGTATAATCATAAAACAATTAAATCAAAACATTAATCTTCTTTTGTTTGTATTGCAGCACCGGATTGTAAAGAAAAAAAGTGGAGAACATGTTACATTTAAAATTAATTAATGTTTTGAATTGTCCAAAATGTCTTTAATAAAAACATTTAAAAATAGTTCTTACGATTCTTAACCTTTTTGGGTTCTTATTTGAACCACTCCATATATATATATATATATATATATATATATATATATATATATATAATGGAAACTTTATTAATTTCAAAATATATAATAAGAGTAGTCTGGTTTCTTCATAAAAAAGTACAAATGGAATTCAATTCTTTCCACCCTCCCCGTATGAAATCCTCAAAAATGGAGTTTGACAGATTGTAGCGGAATTGAATTCCATCCATCCATTTAGCAATCACATAAATAGCGGAAGGGAATCTCGAATTCCAATTCCACCAGATTATCGCATTGTCAACTTTTCTTCTGCCTGCCTGCTTGTCCTCACAGGAAATACCATAGACACGCCAAGGGCTAAACTTCTGGAATAATAAAGAAAAAATAAAAATGATTAATTGTAGATAAATAATTTAGTCTTTCTCCTATAATAATTTTATGCCTTTATGGTGCAATAGTAAAAAGAATTGAACAGATTAATCATGTTAAAAACATTTTAAAGGATTACCTGCTCAGTGGATTCTTTCAGTTCATGATCCAGACTTGCACCACTGTACTTGTTTGTCTGTTAAAAAAATAACATTTTTCCCGGTTACCAGGTTTCATAAAAGAGTAGAATACAGAAAGAAAAAAAAAATGTACTTGCACCATGTTATCGACTTAGCCACCAAGCTACTAATTTTTTGCAATTATTATAACAATAATTCAGTGACTAAATCAATAGAAAATAATAGTCAGTGTCTAAATCGATAAAATGTTACAGGCACGTTGTGCTTTCTGTATTTTTCCTTGATATCAAAACCAGGTCAATGGAACAAATGATTCTTTTATAAGGCCAAAAAAAGTATAAGTGTATAACTGTTCAATCACCACAGAAAAAAGTCATGTGACTAACGTATAAAATTGTGAAACTACAATTGCTTTTTATATCATTTTTCCCTAAACTAAATTCAAATATGAAACATTAGAAAATCTAAGAGCATAGAGTAAAGTTCGGTTTAGAACCTGGTGGACATAACTGGCATGCATAAGAGCAAGAAATGCAGATTCGGATCACACCCACAGATTCGGATCACACCCAATTTGTTCTTTGGAACCCTAATTGAATCACACAAATCCAGTACCAGTATTCCAATCACTTTATCCAAGAATGAATCTACGGAATGTAGCTGATCCTTTTCTACCAAATTTGGCTTTCAGATGTCTTTTTGGTCAGCATTGTCAACTGGCTTGTGTTTTACACCCTCTATGCCTGTGCTTTCAGTCATTTCCTTTATTGGAATTGGAATCTAAGGGGGCGTTTGGTTAGCAGAATGTTTTGGAAGGAATTGGAATTTGAAGGATTTGGATTCCATTCAGCCACATGTTTGAAGGATTAGCAAAACTTGTAGGGTTAAAAGGGTATTGAGTACTTTGTGCAGGGAGGAAAAATGCTGCAGGTTGAATTCCATGGGTTTTAAGATGGAATGTGAAAAGACATTGGTCAAAGAACCCTTTGTGATTTCTTAAGTAATTTAATTCCATACTTTTTTGCAACAAAACACAGATTGGAACGGAATCGAATTCCCCTTCTGTCCAAAATCCCACAACATCTAACCTTTTTTTTCTGTTGACTAAAAAACTTCTTAAGCAATTTCTTCGATGCCCTATTCAAATGTTTTGTGGCCAACAAGTACACTAGTTTGGTTGTTGTACTTGCATTTGCAGAGAAACCGACATCAAGCATGCTTTCAAGATATAAAAGTGCCCTTTTTGTCTCATTATGTCGAAGAAATCCCTGAATAACTAAATTACAAGTAACACCATCCATCATGCAACCTTCAACCTCCATTTCTTGAATCAGATCATTCACATCTTTAAGATAACCATGCTTAAAAAATCCACCCATCAAGACATTATAAGTATGACAATTAGGTTGCAAATCTCTACTAGGGAGTCCACGAAAAATTTCATAGGCGCCCTTGACTTCCCCAGCTTTGCACATACCATCAATACGGCTAGTGTAAACAACAATGTCAGGTTTAATGCCAATATCTTCCATAGTTCTAAATAACTTAAGGGCCTCATCCATTTTTTCATTTTTTAAATAAGAATCTATCAAAGTAGAGTAAGTAAAAATATTTGGATAAATACCCCGATTCGGAATATCTTTAAGAAGCCGAAATGCCTCTTTGAGTCTTCCCACATGACATAAACCATTTATAAGAGAGGTGCAGGTGACTACATTAGGAACAATTCCATTTCCGTACATTTCACTAAAGAGATCCCAAGCTTTTTCTATCTTTTCTTTCTTTTTGCTCTTGCAGTATCCTTCAATCAAGATGCTATAGCTGACAACACAAGGTGCATACCCTTTTTGAATCATAACCTCAAAGATCTCTCTAGCATCATCCACTTTTCCAACCAAACAATATCCATTGATTAGTGTAGTGTAAGTGAAAGCACTAGGCACACACCCTTGTGCAATCATAAAAGTGAAAATCTTTTTAGCATAATTTACTTTACGAAGTAAACAGTAGCCATGTATTACTGAAGTATACATATAAGTGTCGGGCTTCATTCCACTTTCCAACATCAATTTAATAATTTTATGTGCTTCTTCAGTCCGACGTTGTTTAAACCAATAATGAACTAAAATGCTAAACGTGGCTACATCATATGAAATTCCTTGATCTTTCATTAAATTAGACCATCCATTCACCTTTTCCCATAGACCCAAATTACAGTAACCATGAATCAAACTATTGAATGTTATAACATCTGGAAGAATACCTTTCTTTTCCATTTCGAAATAGATTTCTTGAGCTTGAGTAAGATGTCTATCTTTGCAAAGGCCATTGATGATTGTATTATACTCAGTTGTGCCTAGATGAAAGCCCTTAGTTTCCTCCACAAGCTGAAGAAAACGATGAGCAGCTTGTGGGCCATCTTTTTTGCAAATGCCGTTTATTATTGTACCAAAAGTAACTGCTGTTGGTTGTAATCCATTATTCATATTCATTTCATAAAACTTCAGCGCCTCACAAATGTTACCATTATCACAAAGCCCCCTTATCAGAGTATTAATGATAGCAGAATCGGGCTTGTAACCAAGCTTAACCACTTTTCCATACACTGAGAAACCTAAATCCACTCTACCCGTATGGCAGAAGCAGTTTATGGCAATGCTAAATGTATATAAATTAGGTTTAACAGAAGAGTTGAAGCCTAACAAGTCATGGTCCAGAATGATAGAGATGGCAGTAGGGTATTGCTTCATCTTAGCAATTTTAATCAAGATATGATTGAATTGACGAACAGGGGGTACAGGTATGGTCTCAATCATTCCTTCAAAAGAAAGAACGGAATCTGTTAGCTCATAGTTCATTTGTGGGGATGAAAAACGTGTTTGAGAATGAAAAGTAGACGTGATCATATTATAAGAAAGAATGTTGAAACGCACCGTAGCATTTTGACGAAGAAGAAACGCAGACTTCCACATAGTTAACTAAAACCCTAATTTCCATTAACATCCTTAAACCTCAAATCTATAAAATTAAAAGAGTCGAATGCATAAAGCCAAAACTTCCAAAATCCAATTGAATCAAGTCTTTCATTTCATGCGATGAATTGAAGGTTAGCTATGAGAAACCCTTGGACATCATCCCCTGCAGTATTTCATGGCTGCGTCTGTGTAGTGTGTAGGGGTGTTACTTTGGAGGGATATGTTTGATCCGATCCGATCCGATCCAATCCAGTTAATCCAAATTGATTTCGGTTTTCAAAACAAAGATCCGAATAGTCCAAACTAAATTCAAATCTGATCCGATCCGATCTAATTATAATTCGGTTGGATAGGTTTTTATAATTTGGTTTTTAAAAACTAAAATATTTTAAAATGACATATAATTATAATATTACCGAATTTTACACAAGAAGCAAAAACAAATTATTTACTTACGATTTGAAATTTATAAACAACTATTAAGAAGTTATATTATATTTTAATATTTCATAGATAAAAAAAACTTTTGAGAGAAAATATATATTAATATTTTTTACTAGTTGAAACTTTTTGAACCTATTTCAAAAAATAAATTACAAAAATAAATAATTATAGATATATATATTAAAAATAAATAAATAATAAGTTGTTATTCGGTTTTTTTGGACTATTCGGTTCTTATTTTATAAACCATAACCAATCCGAAATCCAAAATAATAATTCGGTTTTGTCGAAAACAAATCCAAAAGTCTAAATATCTGAACCAAATAGTCCAATCCAAATTGTCCAATTGGACAATTCGGTTTTATCCAAATACTGAACAACCCTACGTCTGTGGCTTAATAAAACCGTCGTATAAAGTTTATTAATCTTTTGAGGCCGCCCTCTCTAATTTAAAATCGGGTTGAGTTTTTAGGGTGTGCATTTGGATGCATCGGCATCGGTTTGATCCGATCAAATCAAGTGAATCCAAATTGATTTCGGTTTTCAAAACATATATATGAATAGTCCAAACTAAATTCAAATCTGATCCGATCCGATCCAATTATAATTCGGTTGGATCGGTTTTTATAATTCGGTTTTCAAAAACCGAAACATTTTAAAACGACATATAAATATAATATTACCCAATTTTACACAGGAAACGAAAATAAATTATTTAGTTGTGATTTGAAATTTATAAACAACAACTAAGAAGATATATTATAGTTAAGTATTTTATAGACAGAAAACTTTTGAGAGAAAATGCATATTAATGTTTTTTTATTGGGTGAAACGTTTTTTAGCCTATTTGAAAAAATAAATTACAAAATTAATAAATAACTATAGATATATATTATAAATAAATAAATAATAAATGTTTATTGGTTTTTTTGGATTATTCGGTTCTTATTTTATAAACCAAAACCAATCCGAAATCCAAAATAATAATTCGGTTTTGTTGAAAACCAATCCAAAAATCTGAATATCTGAACCAAATAGTCTAATCCAAATTGTCCAATTGGACAATTCAGTTTTATCCAAATAGTGAACAGCCCTACTCATTGGTTCATTTTTTGCCTTTATTTTTTTTTAAAGCAAACTAATCTAGTTTAAATTACTAGGCTTTTTTCGGGACAACTTGCACGGGACTTACCCATTTAGTATCAGAAATGGGATAGATTACACCTGCATTCAAGAGTTTCAGATTCTTGATCCATGTCTCATCAAAATGCTTGCTCAAGATGGTGGTTAGCACATCTTGGCTTGATAAAGGTCAGCAAGTTGAATGATGACTCCGGTTTTTGATAAAGGTCCAATTCCCATTGTTTTATAGCTTGAATAGGGTAAGACATTAATTTATGCCCCAAGTTCTAGCATGGCACGTGGCACAAAAAGGTTACCCATTTTACAAGGAACCGTGAATAAACCCGGGTCCTTGCATTTTTTAGGTAGCCGTTTTTGTAACACGGTTGAAACGTTTTCCCCAACTTTCACAGTTTGATTTCCTTTAAGATTTTTCTTAGATGTGCAAATTTCCTTAAGGAACTTAGCATATCTAGGAATCTGTGTAATAGCGTCTAAAAGGGGAATGTTGATTTCAACCTTCCTGAACATGGCCATGATCTCATCATCTTCTCGTTCTCTCTTTGTGCTTTTTAGCCTTGAAAGAAATGGGGCCGGTGTGATTTTTTGCTTTGATGTCATTTGGATTTTTTTGCTTTGAATTATCATTCTTTTCATTTTCTTTGACCTCTTCCTCCACTTCAATCTCCCTTTCTTCCTCTTCTTCATTCGGCTTTCTTGGCCCATCATAACTTTTTCCACCTCTTAAGGTAATGGCACATACACTGTGTTTCGAGTTCTTCTCGGTTTGAGATGGTAGCTTGCCTTGTGATTCCATCTTGATCACGGATTGAGCAAGTTGTAATACTTGTTGCTCCAAGCTTTTTATGTTTGCCTTGGTCTCTTGTTGGAAGCTTTGAGTGCTAGTGGCAAGGCTTTTGACAATATCTTCTAATGACATGCTTGATGAACCCGTTTGTGGAGGTGGTTGTTGTGGATGCCTTTGCTGAAAATTTTGAGGTTGAAACGGTGGCCTATGTTGATTTTGAGGAAATGGTGGTCTCTATTGGTATTGATGTGGTTGACTTGGTTGATAACTTCCATGTTGATTTCATCCCCAACCTTGATTGTTGTTCCATCTTTGGTCACCCCGTGGCTGCTCAAATCCCCTTTGGTTTGACGTGGAATACCCTCCTAAAGCATTTGCTTCCGCATAATCCTCATCTTGAAGTTGAGGGCACATGTCAGTTGGATGCCCCACTTGTGTGCAAATACCGCAAGGGCGGGGTGTAGGTTGCACACCTTTATCTTTATCTAGCATCATAGGTTGTGCTTTTTCCAAGGAGTTGATTGCTTCAATTAATTCATCCTCCAAAGTGTACTTATCAGCCAGATTCTTGATCCATGTCTCATCAAAATGCTTGCTCAAGATGGTGGTTAGCACATCTTGGCTTGACAACTCAAAACAATCGTTAGTACATGAGTCAATAACATCTATGAAGTTTAAGGAATGAATATCACTAGGATAACGCATAGCTTCAAAGATATTAAAGTTGATCACCTCACCATCAAACTCCATAGACAAAGTACCATTTGCTACATCTATTTTTGTTTTTGCGGTACTCATGAAGGTTCTCCCCAAAAGGATGGAGCTCGATTGTGGGGTGTTGTCATCGCCCATATCCAAAACATAAAAATCAGCAGGAAATACAAGTTCATTGACTTGCACTAACACGTCCTCCAATACACCTTTTGGGTGTATCAAAGATCGGTCAGCAAGTTGAATGATGACTCCAGTTTTTGATAAAGGTCCAATTCCCATTGTTTTATAGCTTGAATAGGGTAAGACATTAATTGATGCCTCAAGGTCTAGCATGGCACGTGGCACAAAAAGGTTACCCATTTTACAAGGAACCGTGAATACACCTAGGTCCTTGCATTTTTTAGGTAGCCGTTTTTGTAACACGGTTGAAACGTTTTCCCCAACTTTCACAGTTTGATTTCCTTTAAGATTTTTCTTAGATGTGCAAATTTCCTTAAGGAACTTAGCATATCTAGGAATCTGTGTAATAGCGTCTAAAAGGGGAATGTTGATTTCAACCTTCCTGAACATGGCCATGATCTCATCATCTTCTCGTTCTCTCTTTGTGCTTTTTAGCCTTGAAAGAAATGGGGCCGGTGTGATTTTTTGCTTTGATGTCATTTGGATTTTTTTGCTTTGAATTATCATTCTTTTCATTTTCTTTGACCTCTTCCTCCACTTCAATCTCCCTTTCTTCCTCTTCTTCATTCGGCTTTCTTGGCCCATCATAACTTTTTCCACCTCTTAAGGTAATGGCACATACACTGTGTTTCGGGTTCTTCTCGGTTTGAGATGGTAGCTTGCCTTGTGATTCCATCTTGATCACGGATTGAGCAAGTTGTAATACTTGTTGCTCCAAGCTTTTTATGTTTGCCTTGGTCTCTTGTTGGAAGCTTTGAGTGCTAGTGGCAAGGCTTTTGACAATATCTTCTAATGACATGCTTGATGAACCCGTTTGTGGAGGTGGTTGTTGTGGATGCCTTTGCTGAAAATTTTGAGGTTGAAACGGTGGCCTATGTTGATTTTGAGGAAATGGTGGTCTCTATTGGTATTGATGTGGTTGACTTGGTTGATAACTTCCATGTTGATTTCATCCCCAACCTTGATTGTTGTTCCATCTTTGGTCACCCCGTGGCTGCTCAAATCCCCTTTGGTTTGACGTGGAATACCCTCCTAAAGCATTTGCTTCCGCATAATCCTCATCTTGAAGTTGAGGGCACATGTCAGTTGGATGCCCCACTTGTGTGCAAATACCGCAAGGGCGGGGTGTAGGTTGCACACCTTTATCTTTATCTAGCATCATAGGTTGTGCTTTTTCCAAGGAGTTGATTGCTTCAATTAATTCATCCTCCAAAGTGTACTTATCAGCCAGATTCTTGATCCATGTCTCATCAAAATGCTTGCTCAAGATGGTGGTTAGCACATCTTGGCTTGACAACTCAAAACAATCGTTAGTACATGAGTCAATAACATCTATGAAGTTTAAGGAATGAATATCACTAGGATAACGCATAGCTTCAAAGATATTAAAGTTGATCACCTCACCATCAAACTCCATAGACAAAGTACCATTTGCTACATCTATTTTTGTTTTTGCGGTACTCATGAAGGTTCTCCCCAAAAGGATGGAGCTCGATTGTGGGGTGTTGTCATCGCCCATATCCAAAACATAAAAATCAGCGGGAAATACAAGTTCATTGACTTGCACTAACACGTCCTCCAATACACCTTTTGGGTGTATCAAAGATCGGTCAGCAAGTTGAATGATGACTCCGGTTTTTGATAAAGGTCCAATTCCCATTGTTTTATAGCTTGAATAGGGTAAGACATTAATTGATGCCCCAAGGTCTAGCATGGCACGTGGCACAAAAAGGTTACCCATTTTACAAGGAACCGTGAATACACCTAGGTCCTTGCATTTTTTAGGTAGCCGTTTTTGTAACACGGTTGAAACGTTTTCCCCAACTTTCACAGTTTGATTTCCTTTAAGATTTTTCTTAGATGTGCAAATTTCCTTAAGGAACTTAGCATATCTAGGAATCTGTGTAATAGCGTCT